AGAGTCGAGTGCTCTGGAAAACGGGAAACACGTCTGGGAAAATGCTGGATTTTAACGTGAAAAAAATTAAAGCGCAATTATGTTTTACATCTTAAATAACTTAATAGAAAACTAAGTATATAAAAAATAAAATATAAAATGTATATATAAAAAAGTTCACAAGTCTGAAAAAACCTTAGCGATCTCTATAAACATTTCTCAGTAACCGTGATTTCTTTGAAGTTTTAAAAAACCTTTTTCCGCGCTCGGAACTAAACTGTATAATTCTCAATAGTTAAGGAGACGCGGATGAATTTTAATGGTGTTTAAGCATTCAGCACTAATGGCTGGCGGCGCGCGGACACACAGACACACAGCGTTGACACTTCACTACTGAGATCTTCTCTTTAGCAGACTGAAGTCTTTAGGAAACGTTTCTTACGTTTTACAAGCGAGTGCGTGTAAGTTTAAAATAGAAACAATAATTAGCGTTAAAAAGGATGCAAGCAGGAAGGAAGGAGAGCGCGGAGAACATAAGGGAATTAAAATAAAAACAAAAACTTAAAATGAAAATTGATTGAAATGAAACAGATTAGCAACGTTAAAAAATTCAAAACGTATAGTTGTTCTAATTTTAAAAATCTATAAAAAAGTAAAAATGTATCTAAAAGAGCCTTATTACATCGCCAACAAGCATTGTTTTCTATTTAATAAAGACAAACAGCTAATGCCGTTATTAGCATGATACGAATCCACAAACCTCCCCTCCCCCCTCGCACATCCCCTTTAGCCCGTGGCCGTGTACCGCACACCGCACTCGCTGCACAACACGGTAAACACAAGTCCCGAGCGGAGCTGGCCCAGCAACACAAATAACGACCTCACTGAAGCCGCGTATAACATGCTGCATTTGATATTCCCTCTAAACATATCGAATTTACATAATACCTACAAGTTCGTGTTGCAGTCTGTAGTGTTTTGGAATGCATGATTAAGTAGTTAGTTGCGGCAAAGGATTGCAAGTTAGATCGTCTTAAACTCAATGGAAACATCTAAAAGCCAACAGTATCGAGTTAACTATAAATTGGAACAAAAAAACCGTCGACTGTTTTTCCAATATCATGTTGTAAAATTTAAAACTCAACATTAAGCAAACTCGCATTAGCGTGGTAGTGGGGAGAGATCGCCGGTAATTCACACAAAGAACTTTTCCAATTTTCTTTCCTCCTTTCCGTTAGTAGTGAAACATGTCTAGATGCAGACAGTATCGTTGCTGAGATGTTTCCTTTAAGAAACGTTCGTTGGATTCCGAAACAAACCGATAATCGCCGCGGCCGGTGGCCCGTAAAATTAATTAAACACAAGGCGCTCGAAGCAGGAAGGATGTAGGGGAATCTAGGAAATTGTTTAATTTATCCTTGTCGAACGCTTTAAGTTTAATTATATCTTAGAGGCGATAGTGGTGTTGTCTAACCGATGCGGGGATTTGTAATAGGATAGGAAGGAGATAGAATCACAAAGACTTCTAAAACAAACTCATTCAACCTCGTTGATGTCAAGAAGACTTGTAAACCGTAATGCTTAGGGAGATAAGTTGCGTAATAATGTGCGCGCGGAGGGTGCAATAAATCGCAAAGGAATACATATTTATTCGTAAGCGAGCGGCGG